TATCTAAAGTTGTTGCCAAAGCTGGCACCACGTGGTTTTATGTGTCCAGGCCACCCAGTGGGGTATCTAACATGATTGTCCCGACTTGGAGCGACCTGTTTTTACGTGCCCAGGCCGCCCAGGGGGGTATCTAACATGGCGTCGGGTCCACCTCGGAATTATCAGGAAATGCACGGAGGGCCGAACAGCGCTACCCGAACACATGTCCCAAAACAGAAACGTGAGACAGGTGGTGGCGCTTTGGGGGCATCTCCAGGGAAGACATTGCGAGGATGTATTGAGCGGGAGCGCGGATTCAGCGTATCCAGGCCACGCAGAGGGGTATCTAACATGGTTGTCTCGAGCTGGAACTTCGTGTCTTTACATATCCAGGCCACCCAGGGGGATATCAAGCATGGTTCTCCCGAGCTGGAGCCACGTGTTTTTTCGTGTTAAGGCCACCCAGGGGGGTATCTAGCATGGTTGTCCCGAGCTGGCGCCATGTGTTTTTCCCGGAAAGGGCGTAGGCCCAGGGTTCTCTTTTAGTATTGTTACCCCCGGTTTCGACTTGAAGGAGGCCGGCGGAATTATCTTGCGATAAATGATAAGTTCGAAGGACGCCGGCGGAATTATTTTGAGGACGTCTCAGGCGAACCGCTTGTTCTTCGGAATTTGTTGAGGACGTCTCGAGCGAAACGCTGGTTTTGCAGAGTTGGGGGATGTCTCGACGAGCGGGGGCATCGTGGGGAGCCAGAATTCAGAGGATGTCTCAGGCGAACTGCTTGTTTTCACGTCCCGCTCGCAGGAATTCAGAGGATGTCTCTCGCGTGCCGCGTCCCGCTCGCAGGAACTTTGAGGATGTCTCGACTAATTGACTTGTTTTTCCAGGATTTCCTTGGCCACACAGGAGGGTATTTAACATGCTCTGCCCGAGCTGGAATCACGTCGCTTCACGTGTCCAGGGCACCCAGGTGGGTATCTAACATGGTGGTCCCGAGCTGGTACCACGTTTTCCCGTGTACTACGTTTTCCCGTGTCCTGGCCACACAGGTGGGTATCTAACATGGTGGTCCCGCGCTGGAGCCACGTGTTTTCACGTGTACAGGCCACCCACGTGGGTATCTAACATGTTGGTCCCGAGCTGGAACCACGTGTTTCACCTATCGAGGCCACCCAGGGGGTGTCTAAGATGGTTGTCCCGAGCTGGAACCACGTGCTTTCACGTGTCCAGGCCACTCAGGGGATATCTGAGAGGGGCCTCCTGGATCCTTCCTGGGACTCGGAACTGAACGTCGAGAGTTTAGTTGCATTTGGTATCGATTCGTGCTTCTTTGTTGCCTCCAGGCGCCTCTGGCCATTCCTGAGCCCTCCTGAGCTCCAGACGACCGCATGTTAGATATCCCCCCCCTGGGTGGGCTGGACCACGTGTTTTAACGTGTGCAGGCCACCCAGGGGGGATCTAACATGGTGGTCCCGAGCTGGAACCATATGTTTTTACGTGTCCAGGCCGCCCAGGGGGATATCTAACATGGTTGTCCCGAGCTTGAACCACGTGTTTTTTCGTATCCAGGCCACCCAGGAGGGTATCTAACATGATTGTTCTGAGCAAGGACCACGTGTTGCAACGAGTCCAGGCTATTCAGGGGTGTGTATAGTATGGTTTCCCGAGCTGGCACCATGTGTTTGAATGTGTCCAGGCCATCCAGGGGGATGTCTAACATGGTTGCCCCGAGCAAGGACCACGCATTTTCACGTTCCGTAGCGCGTCCCCTCGGCACGTCCCGCGGTGCGTCCCCGTGGCACGTCCCCTGGCACGTCGCTTGGCGCGTCCCTTGGGACGTTCCGCGGCGCGTCCTCCTGGCAGGTTCCCCTGTCAATTAGCTCTGGGGCAGCTACTATGTGCTGAGGCAGCTCGAGCTTATTCAGATCCAGATTTGTTCGGTCAGGACTCGGATGGAAAGGAGGACTCGATCCACAACGCTATAGAGCACAATCGCGGCATGGCACATCGCAGTTAAGCACAGTGCAGCGAAGCACAGCCCTCGGCACGGCGCGTCCCCTCGGCACGTCCCGCGGTGCGTCCCCGTGGCACGTCCCCTGGCACGTCGCTTGGCGCGTCCCTTGGGACGTTCCGCGGCGCGTCCTCCTGGCAGGTTCCCCTGTCAATTAGCTCTGGGGCAGCTACTATGTGCTGAGGCAGCTCGAGCTTATTCAGATCCAGATTTGTTCGGTCAGGACTCGGATGGAAAGGAGGACTCGATCCACAACGCTATAGAGCACAATCGCGGCATGGCACATCGCAGTTAAGCACAGTGCAGCGAAGCACAGCCCTCGGCACGGTACATCAAGATCGATGCACTCAGCATTGCAACCTTGCACGTTCCGTGGCGCGTCCCGTCGCGACTCCCCCTGGCACGTCGCGCGGCGCGTCCCCTGGCACGTCCCGTGGCACGTCCACTGGCACTTTCCGTAGCGCGTCCCCTCGGCACGTCCCGCGGTGCGTCCCCGTGGCACGTCCCTTGGCACGTCGCCTGGCGCGTCCCTTGGGACGTTCCGCGGCGCGTCCTCCTGGCATGTTCCCCTGTCAACTGGCTCTGGGGCAGCTGCTATGTGCTGAGGCAGCTCGAGCTTACGCTCAGATCATTTCGGTTCAGGAACTCGGATGCAAAGGAGGACTCGATCCAAACGCAATAGAGCACAATCGCGGAATGGCACATTGCAATTCAGCACGGCGCAGCACAGCACAGCCGCTCGGCACGGTACATCAAGTATCGATACCGTTCAGCATTGCGTTGCCCGTCGCCCATTTCAGGGGTCTTTGATGAAACACTTTTGCAATAGCCCTTTTGTCTTCTTTCTTATTTTTTCTTTTTTTTTTCTTTTTTTTTTCTTTTTTTACGTTCCTATATTCCTTTCGGGTTCGTGGGCCGATCATGTTTAAGTGTCCAGGCCACCCATGGGGGATATCTAACATGATCTCCCAAAGCAAGGACCACGTGTTTTTACGTGTCCAGGCCACCCAGGAGGGGTATCTATCATGGTTATCCCGAGCAAGAATGTGTTGAGGATGTCTCGAGCGAACCACTTGTCCTCACGTGTCCAGTTCGTTCAGGCCTATGTCTAGCATGAGGTGGCACGTCCATTGGCACGTTCCGTAGCGCATCCCCTTGGCACGTCCCGCGGTGCGTCCCCTGTGGCACGTCCCCTGGCACGTCGCCTGGCGCGTCCCCTGGGACGTTCCGCGGCGCGTCCTCCTAGTATGTTCCCCTGTCAATTAGCTCTGGGGCAGCTACTACGACTATGTGCTGAGGCAGCTCGAGCTTAAGATCCAGATCAGTTCGGTCAGGACGCAGATGCAAAGGAGGACTCGATCCACAACGCTATAGAGCACAATCGCGGCATGGCACATTGCAATTCAGCAGGGCGCAGCACAGCACAGCCTTCGGCACAGTACATCAAGATCGATACATTCAGCATTGCGTTTGCCCGTCGCCCAATCAGGTGTCTTTGAAACCTTGCCAAGCCTTATATTTCTAGATTCCTTTCCAGGTTCGTGGGTCGATCGTGTTTTTGGTTTTAGAACACATTTGGGTTCTGATAACTTTTCGTGGTAGGCCAATGGGAATGCCGGGACGGTCGGTCCCTGCTCACCCCCCCTCCACCGTAGACACGCTAACGGCGATGTAGGTTTCGTTGTTGAGGGAACGCGTGGCTCGCGCATTCCTGCAATTCGCTGTGTCGTTTTCGTTCGACGCGTTCGCATGTAGGAGATGTAGGATAGTGTGATTCGTGATTTCCTGCAATTTGGTTCCCAACACCACCGACAAGCAACATCGTTTAACCGACCCCCATCCCCATCCTCATCATCTTCGAGACCCCCACCAAATTACCACCCCAATTGGGGATACACCCCTCGAAACCCGAAGGAAACGGCCTATATCCCCATCTAGGGGGGTAAATCGGCCAGTGGGACCCAGGCCACGCCGCTGGGGATGGGGGTCGGATAAACGATGCTGATGATTATCGGCGGCGAGCGAGGGGTCAGAGGGGGACAAGGCATCGATACCGCTGCTTCTCCCTCGTTCCCCCATTTTTCGGCCTCCTGGGAGGCCCTTGTCGGCACTGCCCGATGCGCCTCGAAATCCTGGTCGGCACGTACCTTGGGCGAGGTTTGCGGAGTATAGTCGGCCTGGATTAGTAGGTCGACCTTGCCAGCTCAAGGGTACCCTTGTGTCCTGTGCCTCGCGACACGTGCCTTCTTACACTTCTATGGCGATGTGGCCCTCGGAAGGGTCGTGTGTCCTCTCGCGTGTCCGGTCCACTCAAGGCCGACTGTCGGCGGCGAGCGAGGGGGGAATTGAGAAGGAGAAGGCCTTCTCAGAAGGCAGCGGGGCTTCTCAGAAGCCCTCCGGCCTTCCCTGTCTTCGGGGATGGCTTACAGTCGGCCCTGATTAGTAGGCCGACCCTCCCAAATCAAGAGTACCCTCGTGTCCTGTATCTCGCGACCCGTGCCTCCTACATTCCTATGGCGATGTGGCCCTTGGGAGGGTCTTGTGTCCTCTCGCGCGTCCTGTCCAATCAAGTCCGACTATATAATATTTCTCAGAAGGCCGTGGGATTTCAGAGGCTTCTGAGAAGGCCTTCTCCTTCTCACTTCTCCCCCAGGCTCGCCGCCGATTATAGTTCAGTATCGTCTAACCGACCCTTCTCCCCATCCCCATCCCATCCAGACCCCCACCATCTCACCCCCCAAGCTTGGGATGTGCCTCTCGAAACCCGAAAGAACCGGCCCGTATCCCTGTCTAGGGGGGTCAATCAGCCAGTGGGACCAAGGCCCCGCCCATGGGGGTAGGGGTCGGTTAAGCGCTGATGATGGCATAAGCTCCGTGGCGGGCGCTTCTGGCCGTGCCGCTCGGAGAACGGTGTGCTACGAGATCGCTGTACGATGTGCTCGTGTCAAGGCGCACGCCTCCAAGGAGGAGGCACGGTTCTGGTGTGTCCTTTTGCGTGTCCCACGCCAGGCCGTTCTCGAACTGGGCGAGCCGCGGCAAGAAGAAGCGCACCATCACCGCCGAGGCGGGCCGGAGGCTGAAGAGGGCGGACAGCAAGATGAAGGCCCTTGGGGGGCGGCAGCGGGCGTGGGAGATCGAGGAGGAGACGGGCGGAGGGAGGATGAGGAGCAGGAGGGGTGGAGGAGTAGGGATGGAGCAGAAGGGGAGGAGGCGGAGGAGGAGGCGGATGCGGAGGAGGCGGACGAGGAGGTAGAGGAGGAGGACGAGGAGGAGGAGGAGGAGAAGGAGAAGGAATAATAAGAAGATAACAGAAAATAGAAGCATCAACCAAACCAGTCAACACTAATAATATCAATAGTAATAATAAGACTACTGATTCGAATTATACCACGAGTTATACAAATAGTACTACTCATCATAAAACTGGGAAAACTAATCAGAGGAGGAGGAGGAGGAGGAGGGGGAGGAGGAGGAGGAGGAGGAAGAGGAGGAGGAGGAGGACGAGGAGGACGAGGAGACGAGGAGACGGCGGAGGCGGTAGGGGGAGGAGTATGAGGAAGAAAGGCGGAGGAGACGGAGGAGGAGGAGGAGGAGGAGAGGCAGGAGGAGGAGGAGGAGGAGGAGGAAGAGGGGAAGAGGGGGAGGAGGAGGAGGAGGAGGAGGAGGAGGAGGAGGAGGAGGAGGAGCGGGAGGAGGAGGAGGAAGGAGGAGGAGGAGGAGGAGGAGGAGGAGGAGGAGGAGGAGGAGGAGGAGGAGGAGGAGGAGGAGGAGGAGGAGGAGGGGAGGAGAGAGGAGGAGGAGGGAGGAGGTGGAGGAGAGGAGGAGGGAGGAGGGGAGGAGGAGGAGCGAGGGGGAGGAGAGGAAGAGGGGGGGGAGGAGGAGGAGGACGAGGAGGAGGAGGAGTAGGGAGGAGGAGGAGCAGGAGATGGATGATGATGATGATGATGGGGGGAGAGTGATGATGATGATGATGATATGATCGATGATGATGATGCTGATGTGATGATGGATGATGATGATGATGATGATGGATGATGATGCTGATGTGATGATGATGATGATTGATGATGATGATGAATGATGATGATGATGATGATGATGATGATGATGGATGATGATGATGATGATGAGATGATGATGATGATGTATGATGATGATGATGATGATGATGATGATGATGATGATGATGATGATGACTTTGCATGATGATGATGATGATTGTGATGCTGATGATGATGATGATGATGATAGATGATGATGATGCTGCTGCTTGCTGATGCTGATGATGGATGATGATGATGATGATGATGATGATGAGATGATGGATGATGATGATGATGAGGAGGAGGAGGAGGAGGAGGAGGAGGAGGAGGAGGAGGAGGAGGAGCAGGAGAGGGAGAGGGAGAGGGAGGAGGAGGGGGAGGAGGAGGAGGAGGAGGAGGAGGAGGAGGAGGCGGAGGGGAGGAGGAGGAGGAGGAGGAGGAGGAGGAGGAGGAGGAGGAGGAGGAGGAGGAGGAGGAGGATTCGGATTCTGATTCGGAACGATTGCGAAGCAATAAACGTCTGACTACTTGGGGGGAAGTCCCCTCTCGAATCTGGAGAGGTATTTCCTCCGCTTTTTGGTGATCTTCGAAGGGAGGCAAGTTGACGATAGCCCTCGAAGCTGCTCAGCTCCGAAGTAGCCACAAGCTCGACAGATCCAAACCTTCGAAACTTCATGAAACCACATGGCGTGACTGCTGTGCACCCAACCCCCTGCCAGATGAATCTGTACCCCCGCGGGAGGCTGCAGAAGACCCCGAGACAAGGGCAAGAGAGGATGACAGGAGGTGGAAAGCCAGCGCGTGCGCCCCGCCTTCGTGCTCGAGTTGCGACACCTCGTGCACTTCAAGCCGTCGCCGTCCACTGCATGTCCAGAGCAGAAGAGGGCGACAGCAGCGGGGCTGGGCGGGGGAGGAGGAGGCGGAGGGGGAGGAAAAGGAGGGACAAAGTCAGCGGCGGCGGCATCAGCAGCGGACCCCATTCTTTCAGTCTTCCGCAAAGCCTGATCAGCGTTGATGGCCTGCAGAGTGGACCTCATAAGACGCTTCCGAACCAAAGCCGCCTTCCGCTCGACCTGAAGGACACGAAAACGAGACTGCTCGGACACACGGAACATCTTCGCCATGTGACCCGCCAGCTCATCAGCGAAAATATTCCCCGCCACCATCCATTTGGGATACTGCTTTCTTTTTTTTTTTTTTTTTGTTTTTTTTTTTGTCTATTTGTTTTATTTTTTTTTTTTGTTTTTTTTTTTTTTCTTTTTTTTCTTTTTTTTCTTTTTTTTTTTTTTTTTTTTTTTTTTTTTTTTTTTTTTTTTTTTTTTTTCTTTGTTTTTTTTTTTTTTTTTTTTTTTTTTTTTTTTTTTTTTTTTTTTTTTTTTTTTTTTTTTTTTTTTCTTTATGTTTTTTTTTTTTTTTTTTTTTTTTTTTTTGTTTTATTTGGGATACTGCTTTTCACACATCTGCTGAGGCGAGAGGTGCGGCGAAATCTGAAGGACGGCAATCTTCTCAGGCGATCTGTGCCTGAGCAGAACTCCTACTTCCCTCCAAAGATCGGCCAACTCCCCCTGCGGCGACTCCCAACGACGCTGCCACCAACCCCGCACCACTTCTTCGTTGTCTGAAACGAAAACAAGGTGCTCGTCGGTAAATCGCAAAGCGATCAGGAATGCCAGAAGCTCCCCACGAGGTACTGTCTGAGATCTGTCAGGAAGCGGACCAGCGATAGACTGCTCGCAGAGGAACGGAACGAACTGATTGACGACCACAATGGCGAGCCCGACACGACGAAATCTGGGATCTCTGGCGTCGGGACCTCCTGAGGCGTCACCACAAATGACCATAGGTTCTTGAGGGGTCCCACTCCCAAGACAACCAGCAATAAGAGGCCCATTAAACCCAGTAGTGAACCAGCGCTCGGACTCCACAGGGGGCTCCACCAAGGTCCACTTGCGGGGAATGAGGCCTCGATGCCAGAAGCACGCTTCATGTTCATGATGGGCAAGGGCCTCCATCAGGAACTCACTAGACTGCTCGTAAACGGGGTGCCCACAGTTGGCCTCGCATGTCCAGTGCCTGTGTACAGGAGTCCCTGGAGCTTGACGACATCTAGGGCACAGCGGGTCCACAGGGATGCCAGCTTCTTCCTTCCGAGAAGAAATCCAAGCGCCTCCAGCTGCAATACTCCGGAGCAACTCCGATAACTGCCTGCCGTGCATTGCTTCCTGAAGCTGCGCCAAAAGTATGCGCAAGCTGTAGTTGTCGGCGCCGCTCTCCAGGCCAGCGCCGTTGTAGTGATGACTGGCCTGCGACCATTGCTGCTCTTGCAAACTGCTCCTGAAATCCTCAATCAAACCTCTTGTCTGATCCATGCCAACAAGCTGCTCAGAATGAAAGTTCCAGGATAAATCAGGGATGCCGTCGCCATCACTCCATGGACCATGCCAACGATCGGCCTGCTCTGGGTCCCAGCCTAGCAAAAGCAACTGATGCACCAAAGCCGAAAGCGGACCACGAATGTGCTTCGTGCGATGCTCGGGAGAAATACCTCGCAACTGGTTCAGCACCATCGGCCAAGCCTGAATGATGCCAGCACGAAACTGCGGCGAATGAATCCATACCTGCATCCACTGCTGCAGCTGCAATATGGGAAATCGAATGCCTGGGTCCATACCTGGCGTACGCAGATCAAGAACCGTAGTGAGGCATCGGCCCCTCTTGTTACATCCTGCGACGGCAGCAAGACGACGACGAGCATTCAAGAGATGAGCCCCAAAGACCCCGTAAGCCTGAGCACCATAAAAAGCACCAGCCTGAGGTCCTGCAAGTTCCACGCGTTTCGTAACTTGATACCTTTTCGAAGCTCGGGCGAGCCGACGAAGCTTATGATTTTGCTGGACCGACTTGACGACACGTTGCCTCCGAACTGCTCTAGCTTGCCGTTTACCCACCCCAGTGTCGACGCCGAGGTAGGAGGTCTGCAAAACAGGAGAGATGAGGATGCCACGAGCCTTCAAACGCTTGGCCACAGACTTCGCCGCGGCATGATCCGAGCAAAGAACCACGCTCTTGTCAGCGAGTGCTAGCCCTTCCTTGTTAAACATGATATTGACATCTTCGACGCTGCTGACCAACTCCTCCTCCACCCTTCTCCTGGATCCCGAAAGAGACAAATACAAATCATCCACCCAAATGCGCTCACCCATCCCCACATGCATGGTCTGGAGCTTCTCTAAAACGAAGAAGGTGAGGCAGCGAGCGAAACGAGTGCCGTCCCGCAAACCTTGGATGATGCTTTGGGTAGGTTGAAATCCCAAGGAGTGCGAACCCAGTTGAGAGAGGACGCGAGGTGCCACACAAAGTTGCAGCTGCAAAAATAACAGAACTGGCGGGTACCCAAGCCTGAGAGCGGCACAAACCAGATTCCTGAAACGAATGTTGTCATAGAAACTCTTAATGTCTAATAAAGCGGCCCCGTACGTCCCACCAAGCTTGTGCGTGACCTCCGCATCTAAGATTTTGAGGAAAGCCTCGCGGATGGGAGAGTTACCTGTGACGGCAGCATCCCAGTCAGAATCGACGGACCTGGACCATTCCTTGGAAATCTCATCCCTGGAGAGGCTCCAAAGCCTGGTGACCATGGCCATGAGGCCGATCACACGGTCGCCCGACGATTTTTTGGGAAGCAGCCGCCCGAGAACTACGAGAAGTTGCCACGGCCAGGTACATGTAGCCTCAATGGTCTCGAAGATGCCAGCAAGCTCGTCTAAGGAGGAGGAGGAGGAGGAGGAGGAGGAGGAGGAGGAGGAGGAACATGAGGAGCAGCAAGAGCAGCAAGAGGAGCAAGAGGAGCAGGAGGAGGTGCAGGTGGATGAAGAGGAGGCAGAGGGTGGGATGAGGAGGAGATGGGGGCGGCAGGCGACAAGCAGCAGCAGCAGGAGGAGGAGTTGGAGGAGGCGGAGGAGGAGGAAGAGGAGGCCAGGAGGACGAGGAGCCACGAGGGACCTCGAGGAGCAGCTGAGAGAACGTGCGCGAGAAAGCAGGGGTGAGCAGCAGCGCCGCG